GTATTCTTGTTTGGGTGTGGTCACACCATGCCCATCTGGTGTGACACACACACCTGTTGCCAGGGTGTGTGAAAACCCGTTACATGAAACCCCGTTACAGTAATAATCCTAGATATATGTACTTCGGTGAGTAAATTCTTTCTTCAGATGAAGTGAAAGCAACTCGCGTTTACAATCTACAAGCTAAGAATTCTCGCGCAACTTCGTGCAATACCTCGGTGAAAGAAGTCATCCTTATGCGGAAGATGTGGAGCGGCAAAAACAGTGGGCATTCGCCTGCATAACCAGGCGTATCGGGCGCGGTCGAAGTTCTCGGCTCCCCGGTATGGAAGAAAAGGATTGGCGAGCTTCGTTTAAGTGCCAAGTGCTAATGGCTGCATTGGCTTCTGACCCTCTTGAATGCAGTAAAGGTTACCATCATCAAGGATGATCTCGCACCAAGACCTTTCGCGTCTACCCTATCTATTTTGAGATAGCAGTGGGCATCGCATTCAATGCGAATCATTACTTTCGTGTCGCGAGAACAGGATCGGTACTAGGAGCTTAAGCCTTTCGAGTACACTAAAGGCGATGGACCTCTGCCACACCGAGGAAAGAAAGAGAGATCTCCTGGCTGATGATCCTCTCCGCGGTACCCGCAGACGTTTCATACCCGAAAGTACAAACCATTTGCGGCTTGTATACCGTCTTCGCTCTCGGCTAAACAGGTCAATCCTTTTTCCTCAGGCCTAGTGGTCTATATCGTTGAGAAATTTGCCTGCAGGTCCTTCTTCCGAGCGAATCAACCCGGTAAAAAGGTCTCGTCATTGGCGCCATAGGCACGATAACCTATATTTGCAATCGCTTATTGAAGCGCATACACTTGAGCTCTCCTCACATGTGTTAAATGTGGTTCGTCACCCCCGACTTCCCGTGCTCGGCCCGACTATGGACAAATGTATCGTCACATGACTTTGTAAATAAACGCGACGTGGTCCGAATAGCTGCACCGTCATGTGTTCGTTGCGCGTACTACATTCCCTATGGCAAATAAGGCATCCTCTCGAAAAAATTACCGCGGTAAAGTGAAATATTTATCTCCTATGAGCAGTGATTTAACTCACCAAACAGGCCAGGGTTTTGAACAAAGTGTAGTCGACCTTTCTATTTGTAGCAATGATTCCTAAGAATCGACATTTGCGTCGAAATCGCGGCTGCATTACCTTATACATACACAGTTTGCCACTTGTCGTCAGCTTTGCCGACACCAAATGTTAGCGCCGAGTGTAGACATTTTCTCTCACACTTCAACCCACTTCGTGGCCTCACAGAAGAAGCGTGAATGCAGCTGCACTGCTCTCATAAAAAGAGCCCGTGTAAAGCTTTAGTTCCGTAAATATGTCAATTCATGAGACATTACCATACTTGAGGTGACACACTTGATGGATCTCTCGTCACCTCGTCGTGATATCTTTACAACAAAGGATATGAAAGGCCTGTAAAGCCCCCGAGGATTAGTCTTCGGTGATTGCCCTCAATAACAGATTCAGCCACTACGAATGTCGAGTTCAATTCGTCCACTGGTACCAAACGTACCAGTCCAGCGACCTCATCACCTTGCTTGCATATATATATATATATATGATAGTTCTGACAGCTCTGCAGGAATTTCCGTCAAAGGTAGCGAGGAGAAACTTGCTCCAGTTTCAGCACGGTTACTCCATTGAAAATGTTCTCCACACACACTCGTAGAGATGCACTTCTCCGCATGGTAAGTTCGTCAAATGTTAGAATTGACGCAACAGTGCCACCACTTCGTGGCAAGGATAAAGTATTTTTTTCATCATAGGAGTCAAGCCCTTCCACTTGCCGCTGATCATCACCCTCTAAGTCCACAACTTCTGGCACGAATAAATAGGTACCCAGCTTCCTCTACTCCCCACTGATACTCTTCCAGCAGTCAAACAGCTTACAGCTGATTTTTTCCGTTCCACAGAGATACGCTTAGGGACCACGGCATGTCGCCCTAGCTCGTCTCAACAGAGATGCGCTCTGAAGACCGCTATATAAATCGCGTTTCTCGTCTTTTTACCTCAACTTACTACCGCTTCAGCCTTCCGAGCTTAGTTCGCATCCCATTGCTATCACTTTCGAACAGTCCCGTGTGCTACACGAAAGCTATCACAACTTCCTGTTTGTGACAAAAGTGATTTCGCTTCCTGGTGAGAAAGGTGATAATTCCTCAATGCTCACCAGAAGAGAAGTGCATGCTATTTCTCAATTGACCCGTGGCTCGTACAGTTTCAGCCGCACCTATTTTATATAAGATCGTCTTGAGTCTAGGCCTATGGCTAAATAACGTCTTACGGTGGCACAGTTATCAAACTTGACCTGAAGGCTCAATTGAGATCTCGACACCAAACAAGTGTTTCCGTCGCAAGACGCATGGATGAGGTATCTGTATGTGGTATCTCCAAATCCTCTGCGTACTTTCAACTCTTTTTAACTGCTGCTCATTGTACGTAATTGAGCAACGCTACTGAAAATTATATTTCACGGCTTTACAAGGGCGGCCGACGAATTTACCGCGGAGAAACATCAAGCTCCACTAGGCAAGTTTATTGCAATCTCCCCAATAAGAGCGTGAAATGGTGACAGGGTTCGTAAAAAGAGTCGGCCTTGAGGCTTTAAGAAAGGCCTCGCGCATGCTCCGATGCTGGTCCTTACGAATCCACATTGTCCATTCTATGTCGTCTGCGAGGCCTCGACCTGAACATCATGAGCTATGGATCGACAGAATGGTAGAGTGTCATGTGCTTTACGCTAGCAGGAGTTATAAGCCCTTCTCTACCACAAAGTAGAGTGCTTTTGGAGCGAGCAGAGATTAGAGAGGTGCGTTGGTGCAGACTCGAAGCAATTAGCAACAAATTCATTCTGAACAAGTTGAAGTACCAGTAAGGCAATTATTATGGGACACAGTAATCAGTATATCGCGGCCCCCTCTGTACATTCCTGATTTTGCGTCATACCAAGGATGAGGTAATATATCGAAGACGGGGTCGAGCCAATTTTCCACGCGCCAGGGTTCGCAAATATAATAAGTTGGTTCGTACGAATGTTCGACACGTTAACAGGTGTTCCATTGTTATTTTTTTATAAGTCTAGCTGTAAGGTTGAGTCCTGAGAAATTTCATCGGGTGGGATGGAAAGAGCACGTGTGTCGTGGCTATTCTGAGACTGCAAGTCGCGAGTTGAAGTATCTAGCATTCATGTCATCACAATGATTTATACTTTTTGCGATGTTACGGTTATGATACGTCGGCACTACCGTCTGAAGCTCCCATCGAGCGGAGAAGAGAAGCTCCACAGATTTGTGACATCAAAATTGATGCAATCGCGGACGAACATGCAAGTCTGCTCTAATTAACCCGGAAAGGAAGCTTTTCGTGAACTTCGAAGACTAATGCATCAGTGATGTATAAAAGGAAGATCAGGACGATGATATCACCGAGTTGGTACGCTCGTATTGAAAGAATCATATGGACTTCTTTTTCACGGATGAGTCTCTTGTTGTAGACACCCACATAGCTTAGATCTTGCTGTAATATTTCATTTGGCTGAACTAAGTAGAGGAAAATGCCGCTGCATCTCCCACTTTCCAAAAGAGCTGCTGAGAATCGCAGCGGTATTTCAGGGGCAATTTGTGGATCGTATAACCTGTAGACCAGACTCGCTGACTGGATACACCATTGTCCAGCATGACTTCGCAGGTGTTGCCGCAAACCGTAACATCTGCCTTCGCAAAACAGAATCAGTTAGGAAGTGACTCGTAGTTGACCTGTAAAGAACGACAGATCTGTACATCTACTAACAACAACCTCCAGATCAGGTATAGCATTAGCTGAAATTAAACTCGGTGTAGAACGCGTGACCGAATGCCTAAATGCTTGAGCAGATGCCCTCTGACATTTGACATCACGTCTCACCCATGATTATTGTCGGTGCAGACCTATGAGAAGTTACTCGTCTTGTAAACGACGTCTTCGAAATAATGGAATCGGTATCTATGTCAAACACTTTCGCACAGCGTAAAGACAACAGCTCTGTCTGTTAATGCATTACTTTGTATGCTTGAAACGACTATTGCTCTTCATAGACACTGCTTCAATTCAACTGAAGCAATTTATAATGCACCGGCCGCTCGAAGTGGGTACTACAAACTAACCAAAAAATTATCAGATTGACCTCGAGGGGTGTTTTTAAGCTGGCGCACGACCTCCCGTCGGCGATTTCAAAGATATGCTGTACAATGCAGTTTTGTGCGCGCATCGTAATCTGTCATACATACATACGGATGAGGCTTAGCAATGTTCCGCGTTTTTAAGCAGCAATCTCATCGCTTAGAATTTTGAGTAACTCACTGTTCTGCAATGTCATCTGTTCGTTCATTTCATCGCAAAAATGCGTGTATCGTGTCTGCCGCATCAATGAAACCTAAAAAGTGTTTTTCCTGTGTTTGTCTGCGTTAATCTCTTTGCAAGACGCCAGCATCGAAGGTATATTCTTGGATGAATAGTTTGGCGAAAGCTTCACACCCTGGGTCAGGGTCGGCGCCCTGCGTCTTGCAGATAGTATAAATGACATTTCAGCCAACCTGAAAAAACTTGGCGAAAGGCTTTGTTGGAATACAAGAACGCTGGTGTCAAAGAGGATGTTGTCATTAATTTGAGGCGATAAAGAATTACTAGCTGGAGTCTGAAATTTAAATTTATAGAAAAATATTGCAGACAATATATGATACCGGGAACATGTGTTTTGGTAACAAGGCTACTTTTGTATTTCAATGAATATGAAATCCGTTTGAACGGGTGATACTAACACACTAATATACATACACCTGGAATTCAGTATGACCAGCACGGCACAAGACTCATCCGAGAACGATTCACGTCAAGACTTTAACGAAGAGCTCATTGCATGGGTCAGTAGATTAAGATCAATATCTTTGCATATTGGTTATTCCACTTCTGTTCTATTGAGTAGAGACAGGAGACACGCCACTTTCTGCTAAATGACGCGATAAGACTCACTAATTACGCTGCGCTTGAATTGAAACGCATTGACTTTATCTGGGGTCGCATCCGATTTGAGCGCAGTGTTGTGTCTCCCGCTATCAAGGCTGACGTCCGCGTCGAAGTACTATTATTGTGTAAATAGTGTTGATGGAAGCCGAGTTCTCTAAAATCCATTTGCTTCCATGTGTTGACTGGCCAATGGCAGGGTCATCTTGTGGTGTCTACGAAGGCAGAAGTTAAGCTGACTAGAGCTCAGCGCAATGCGCCGATTAAAATTGTGTAAGTCATTTTGCTGTTTGCAATTTTTCTTTCTTTCTTAATGTCAGAGCGTCCCAAAGTCTTCAGCAATACTGCGTATTGAATCAAATCCTCGAATTTCATGGAATCTTGCAAAGCCTAGTGGAAGTTCTTACGGAAATCGAAGAATTTATCGATGAGCAGCGTCACGACGTACTGGATGACCGGTCCAGCAACGACGATGTTGATGTCTACGTGGACATTTTGAAGTACACCTTTGAGAACCTCGATATCATATGTCAGAAGTTACGGGACGCTGCTAGTGTCTTGCGATTACCCAGCCGACGTCGGTTTCCGTATTGCTCCCATGTCGATCTTGTGTGTGCTTTTTAACATCGAGCAATACCACGAGGTATATAGTCTGACCAGCTCATTTTCTACTCAACATTCAGAGCTTTAAGCCCGCTCTTCCGTCAGAAGTCATCGTAGATTTTTCCATTCACCGTGGAGAACTCGTACGTTTTTGCTCACTAAAGTTAATTCAAATTGATCTCACAAATGCATGTGAAGCTCGTGGAAGCTTTTGGTCTGGCGGCCTCTCAAAAGGTAATCACCGATATTTCGGAGGGCTGTGCATCGAGAGATGAATTTATCGGCTGTATTTGGTAAGATGGGTTAAATATGTAGTTTTTTATGCACACAAAACATCAAAACCAGTTCAAACTTTGCAAGTGTTTTTCGTGGACGAAAGGTCGAGATAGTGGAGTATGCACGTGTCTCTATGCCGATTCCACAACTAGAGGAAATGCTGGTCCGACTGGATGACCAGATAGCGTGGCTGTTACATGTTCGAGATAATGTCAAAGCGCTGCTCGACTGTCAGCTTCTCGAATCAGATAATTTATAATTTGGTCTGGCTGTAACTGTATAGAAAACTTTATCGCACGCAAATAACTTAGGAGTTACTCTTTGAGTTAATTGAAATCACCACGACAGCTAGCATTTGATTCTAGAATAAATCGAACGCTGTGATGTCAAGGTCTTTGCCTGTCAAGGTTGATCCTGTAAATTATGTAAATGCTGGATCGTCGGAACTGACAACAGCTAAAAATGTTGATCCATCGTTGAGCGCTGAACCACTTGGAGTAGATATTGTTGGAAATGGACATCAGCCACACCTTTTGACTGTGACGACCAATGGTATATCAGTAGAAGCGTCAACAAATTCTTTGTCGGCTCTGATCTCTGAGCCTATTAGCATTCCACATCTACTGTATTCGAGCCAACATATTAGCGATGATCGAAAGTTTCCAGTTTCAAAGCTAATCACGCCATTACGAAAGCGAGGGCAGTCGTTTCGAGAGACAAGAAGAGTGAATGTCACTGTCGATGCTGACGGACGGTGGCATTTAAATCAATAGTTCGTGAGAGTGCTTTTTTCATGTTAACAAGTTTAATTTTTGCTGAACTGGACAAATTGGTAGCACGTTTATGGAGCAGTTAGGAAAAGGGGCTTATGGTGTTGTGTATAAAGTAATTTGTAACGAGACGAAAAACATGTTTGCCGCGAAGTGTATGAACAAGAAGGCTCTCCAGCGAATCCGAGTCGGTCGTTTCGGTAACGCCTTGCAATCCATTACAAAGGAGCTCGAAATTTGGAAACAATTGAAGCACCGACATATCGTAGTTTTGCGCGAAGTCATTACCACGGATGGTACGACGCACCTCTTGATGATTTATTTTAGCTAATGTAGAGTATTTGATCGTATAGACTGCGACGAATTGTACATGATCAGTGAGTTGATTGACGGAGGTCCGGTGCTCAATGATGCCATGTTCGTGCGTAGGCCTAAATGTCTCTTGTCACTGTCGCTTGACTTGAAGCGTCTGTTAGATTGTGTACCCCACTAAAAGCAGATCTGACTAAAACCTACTTTACGCATCTGGTAAGCTATCTGCTGAATTTTACAAGTGTGCCCACATCATCGGCCCTCTGATTTCTATAGATTGAAGGAATTGCCTTTCTACACAAAAATAAGGTGCGTCTTCTTCGAGTCTGATATTGTACTTCCACTTATCTAGGTCTATACTTCTCGTGCTATAAGATAATTCACCGTGACATTAAGCCGGGAAATTTGCTTCTTAAGACGAAAAATAAACATGGAGCTATCCTCAAGATTGCCGACTTCGGTGTGTCACACGTATGGATATTAGTATTTATACAAAAAGGGTGACATACCTAACGCAAATTAGGAACTTGAACATGATAATGAGGTCATGCGGCAAACTGCCGGAACTGCCATATTTATGGGTAAGCTGCTCATTTTGACCCGCAGTTGTAGACACCGAGTCTTTTGCTTAATGAAATTCATTAAATAGCTCCAGAGATGCTTACTGGAGGTAGCTTTCACGGAAAGCCTGCTGATATCTGGGCTTGCGGAGTTACACTTTTCATGTTCGTCTACGGGTATCCGCCGTTTATCGCCCAGACAGTGACAGTATTGTATAACAAAATCCAGGTATCGGCTTAACGACATATACATATGCGGTTGGGAATATATTGAGCTGGCCATCGCATGTCTTTGCCTCAGAACGAAATTGTCAAGTTTCCGACCCGTGTCGGCGACCGCGTGATAGAGGATGAACTTATTGACCTAATGCAACATGTGCGTTGCATAAAAATTTCTGAACTTTATCATGATACCTATCTTTTGAGATATAGATGCTTGAAAAGGATCCAACGCAGCGTTACACAAGCCAGCAGATCCGAGTATGTCACATTTGAACTTGGTTGTTTTTATATTTCACAAGCTCATCTTTCGAACTCAGTCACATCCGTGGGCATGGCGCGAATTTCAAATCTCTGCTTTTAATTGCGTAATTCAACCAGAAGAGCGGATACTGCCTCTTTACAAAATTTTAAGGAGCCTTACAGGCATTGCATCACTTGGTAAAACATGTATGCAAAAGCTATTCTCTCGGTACATATGTGAGCTATGAGTCTATTATACTAGTCAAAGGTGACAAAGTTGTTTTGACTAGGTCAAGTATCGTGTATCCAGCAGTTTCGTCTTGTTCATCGCTCGCAAGTGCCATCTCAAGCTTCAAGGCGCATAAGTAACAGCATGCAACACTATGCTTTTTCACCTCGTTTTGACGAATCAACTTTTCAACTAGGACAACAATATCATGTACAAGCCTTGCGAAATCGCGCGCTCTAATCAGCTCTTACTCAGCATGTACATTTCGTCGGTGTGGTGGACGACATTGCAAAGTCAATATTTCGCTAGCGATGTACCATCTTGTTCATGAAAGTAAAAAACATTTTGATTTCTTCTCTTTTTATCCTAACAGTTTTACTGGATGCACTCAATATCTATACGAAAACACCTACCTCACTAAATTAGGAGAGATTGTTGAGATGAAGTTTACAAGCGTAAATCTTGCCTTTACAGTCAAATCTGTGTTTGTTTATGTGCATATAAATGTACATAAAGCAACTCTGGCAACTATACCTTCTCGACCAGCTAAGATGATACAATGTTGCTCGAAGGGGCTTCTTTTCATCTGGATTGCTGCCTCGATGCCCGCTAATCCGTAGTCTAATTTCGGATGGAGTTAGTAAGTAAGTTAGCGACAAATCTTATTATTATTTGGAGAGCTGATTAATTTATGCAGGTCTTTCTTCAT